CGCCGACGTCTCTCTCTCTCTCTCTCTCTCTCTCTCTCTCTCGAAGGCAGCCGTGCCCGGGGCGGACAGGGCCCTTCCCTCCGGGCTGTAAATAAGCTCGCCACACATATTTCGCGGCGGCGTGGTGGGGCGTGGTGGGGTGTGGCGGGGCGGCACGGGCGGGGCGTGGTGTTACGCCGCGAGGCCCATGACGCCGGGCCCTACCCTCGTACTCATCCCGAGTCCCCGGGGGGCACCCGGTCGGTACCGCACGTTCTCTCTCTCTCTCTCTCTCTCTCTTCCCCCTCACCACGTTCTCGCTCGCTCCCGCCGCCTTGGTGCCGACTTCATTCATTAGCAAGTTTCGCCACCCAGCCGCCGGTAATCGGGGAGTGTTTTCTGGATTTGGCGGCCGCCTCGCCGGGCGCTCCGGGCCCTCCAGTCAATGTTGGCGGTGGCTGATGGGTGCAAAGGCCAACAGTGGCGGTGTTTGCCTATCTGCGCCCTCCCTGGCGGCAGCGCGGCGGCAGCGCGCCAGCCACGCGAAGCTCAAGGGGTCCCGGGCGCGGAAATGGACATCGAACGTGGCTCACATCGAACACATCGGGGTACACTGGCAAAACGGAAGCGTTCTCGTGCAGGCCTTGCTTGCGATTTGCACGCCTGGCGCTCTTCTTGAAGTGTACTGAGCACATTCTCTCAAGCATTCGGGTAGGAAGGATAGCGGTGCTTGAGCCTCCGTGCCCTTCAAGAAGAGCCTAGGTACACGATGCCCGTACGACAGCTCCAGTTCCATCAGTGTACCAGTAGACCAACCGAGGAATCCGTTCGGTACCACCGTGCGTTCGATTCGAAACCTACTTCAGAGAGCCGAACACGTGTTGGAAGGCACGTCCGCTTAGACATGCCTCACAGCCGGGCGGGATGGTCGGTGCGGTAGGCCGCCGTGTTGGCTGAGTCGGCTGCCTGCGGACTCATTCCGAGAGTCTGTCTCTCTCGCACTCACGGGGCGTCCCGTGCAGGTGCGAGCGAGACAGAGCGTCGGTCTGCTTGGCCGGGGTGTGGGGAAAGACGTCGTCAGCCCGGCCGGCCGGCCGGTCGCGGACTGTTTGGCGTGGCTCCTCGTTGGTAAACACTGGCGGCCGAGTGAGAGGAGCCATTCCATTTTAAGGGGAAATAACCGATGCGGCCCCCCCCCCCCGGAAAGCAAACAGCGACAATGTAGGGAATTAATTTGGAAAAACACGGAACGACCTTGCCGATGTAGCGCCGCGCTTGACGGGGGCAGCCAGCCACAGTGGGCCAGAAGACCGTGGAGGCGGCCAAACTCTAGACGCGATTTGAGCTCCAGAGTCGCTAAACAGGACTCGAACGGAACGTGTGACCCCGCCAATCGATTCCTCGTTCGGAGAGCAATCTATTGGTGGGGTCACACGTTCGGTTCGAGTCCCATCTAGCCACTCTGGAGCTCAAAACGCGTCCGGGCTTTTGACCGCCTCCACCGGTCTTCTGGCCCACTGTGCGGCAGGCAGGCAGCAGCCTCAGCAAGTTTAGACGTCTTGCGATAAACGAGCGGCCCTATAAAGTCAATGAATAGTTCCTAATTAAGGCCATAAAAAACGCGCCGGCCTTTTTGTGCGGCGTTTGTTTTGATAGGCAACTTGCTGGCGGAGGGGGGTCTGCCGCGCAAGGTCCCCTTCGGCGAGTATTTCGGGGTACCGCGGTGAAAGAAAACAGAAAATGGGAGGAAAAAGCGTGGCAGCGCGGCGCGGCCGGCGCGTCGAAAAGGCATCAATCGACGCGTGGCGCGTGGCGAGCGCAGCCTTGGCGCCCCGGCACCCACGGCTTTCGCAATCACAAGCCCAAAGTTAAAGCGAAAGAAGGGAAACCGTAACAAAAAGGAAAAGTTTTCAAAATGTGTTTCTTAAAGCCGCCGGGCCGCCGCGGCGCCCCAGGCTATTCGCGCCTGCCATGCCATTGTATGTGTATGTGTCTGCGGATAAAGGAAGACAGCCACCCTCTCTCAGAGGCTGGGGGGGGGGGGGCGTCTTGGCGTCAGATGTAAACACTTGCACATCTACACGCCATTAATTCGAGCTGGGTGGGCGGCCTTCTGGGACCGAGTAATCGATCTACCAGCCTCTGGGGCCCCGGGGCTCAAGGCGCCGCCCGCCACTGCGGCTCGGCTCGGCGCGGCCCCCCCGGGGTGCGAAGGGCTCAAGGTGCCCGAACTGGAGAATCCACCCCGGACACGACGAGGCCTTTTAAAACAACAAGGATGCCGCCGCTGCCAGTACAGCAACAAGGACAACAACTTTTTTTCAGACTAACAAATTTTAATGTTTTAATTGTTTACGCATATATGCGAAAAATAATGTCGTGTTTTTCTTCTGCACTGGGGGCCGGCGAAAACAACGCAGCATCGGCCCGGCGCCTGTACAGTGGCGGTGCCCGCCGTTCTGCGTCACACGAGACTCGGTCGTTGACACAGCGGCGCGTATTTTAAACAGAGTGTTGTTCAATCTCCGCCTGGCGCCTCGCACAATAACAATCGCAGTGACACGCGTCGCAAGCTTTCGGCACGTCAAACCCTGCTTGAATGGCTACACACACTACAAAATCTAAAGAAAATCAACGAGAGGAGGAAGAATTTTCGTTTGAATTTTTGGCCCGTCCCGTTTATTTTTTTTTTCCTAAATACCTTTGGGTGGATCTGGTTCCGTTACGAATTGTAAAACAACTGACATACTTTTTCCTCTCTTTTTTTTCGTGAAAATGTAATAAAATTGATGTGACTTTTATTGCGTGTCAAGGCTAGTTTCATCAAGCTGACATGTCGAAATAATAAGTCATAAATTGTGTCGCGTCATGTGACAAAAATATTTTACGCAGCGAGGGGCACCCTTCGCCTGTCCCTTCCGCCACGCAAGGCTTGGGCTGCCGAGCGGTCCCGAAAGCCGCTACGTCGCGCCGTCTCTCTCGCACCCCTGCGGGACGCGCCGTGAGTGCGACAGAGAGAGTAGAGTCGGAATGAGTTTGCAAGGCCGCGTGTTCGTCCGCGCGCCTGGCGAGCAGGAAGCAGCCAGCACACAGTGGGCCAGAATGCCGACCGGTGAAGCCGGCCGAAATTCTGGGCGCGTTTTGAGCTCCAGAGTCACTAGATGTGACTCGAAGCGAACGTATGACCCCACCAATGGGTTGCTCTCCGAACGAGGAATCCATTGGTGGGGTCACACGTTCGGTTCGAGTCCTGTTCAGCGACTCTGGAGCTCAAAACGCGTCTAGAGTTTTGGCCGGCGGCGGCGGTCTTCTGGCCCAGCGTGCGGGGGTGGGGGCGCACTTCGGCGTGCACCTATAAGTTTGTCTTAGCGTCTCAAGACTCCCCTGAATCATCATCATTCCCTCTTACAGCGTCGCTGCAGTCGCTGGCGTTCGCTGCTGCTGCGCGTTGGACGCCGCCGGCCTGGAAACTTATCCCACCGCATCGCAGCCGATCTGCACGCTGATTCCGAGAGTCTTCGCTCTGTCTCTCTCGCACTCACGGGGCGTGCCGTACGGGTGGGACAGAGAGAGAGCGACGAAAACGACCCTCGGAATCAGTGTGCTGGAGACGGAACCCCGGCGCGGCCAAGCCGCAGAGATGCAGCGCCAGCCAGCCCAGCCACGCGCACCGCTGCGCAGCCCGTAACTGCAACTTTCTTTTCCCGGTCTTCCCTCCCCTACTTTAGAGACCGACAGTCGTTGTTGGCCCGGGGGCCGAGCCCGGGCCGCCACCGATAGGAGACAATAATAAAGTGTTGAGCACGCGAGGGGCACCAACAAGGCGATTAAGCTGCATCGCAAGGGGAGGGGGGGGGCTAACTGAACTGCCTGGGAAACAGCGACGTCATCAGGAAGAGAGAAACGTCGTGGAAACAAAAAGCACCCCGAAGAGGAGGAGAGGGGCGTCGCGTCGCGGCCAGTGCGCCGTTTTGCAATTCGGGGGACGCTGTGCCTTTTTTCCTGTCCTTTTTCCCCCCTTCCCTTTCAGACACTTTCAAAGGAGCACGGCCTTGCGAACGAGAGCACTATTGCCCTGCAGTGGCGGCGGCCCGGGAGGCACACCGGTCTTCTTATTGGACTTCGTTTCGCGTCTTTGTCCGCGTCGCGTCGCGCAGCCGGCCACTACACTATTAACCAAATGCACGTGACCTCGCCGCCGGGCAGCCAGGCAGGCAGGCAGGCACGCACCGTGTCGCATCTCGTTAAGTGCCGCGGTGTCGGCGTCGCGTCGGAGACAAAGCGTCTTCTCGGCAGATGGCGCGCCCGGCCCGCCGCGGCGGCCCCGCCGACCGCCACCGCCAGCACCATCTGCAGGCCGACGGGCTGACCGGGTCGCAGCCTGGCTGACTGACTGCCGCCAGGCTGCCGGCAAACCGACAGTCGTTATCGTCGCTCCGTCTCTCTCGCACCTGGACGGGACGCCCCATGAGTGCGAGAGAGACAGAGCGACTCTCAGTCTGCGGACGCCCTGGATTCTGATTGGAGTATCACTCCCGCTGCCTGGCGAGCGGCGTCCCGACGTCCCACGCCGCCGCGCGGTGCGGTCGTCAGCGAGGGACTTTCCGGAGGCGTGCTTTTTCGCGCCGGCTGGTCGCGAGCCGCATCCTGTCGATACTATCGAGTGCGTATCTGTTGGAGGCCGTACATCATCGTGTGTGTGTGTGTGTGGCTCGCGTGCCGGAGGGGCGCACACAAGCTGCTGGCATTTCGATTAGTCACGGCCCGTCGGGAAAAGAGCATCTGTATTGATTTTCAATCAACCGTCGTGGCGGCAGGCCGGCAGGGCGGACGGCAGGCGCGCCGGAAGCGTAATCGCTTCCCATGTCGACAAGACGAGTGCAAGCCTGCGCGACATCGTCTCCGGGCCCTCGAATAAAAACGGTCCCTTCTCATTTCAATTTTTTTGTTTCGAAAACACAGGGCAGAGGCAGCTTAAGCACGCCTTAAGCCTTGCCCTCGCAGAGGGACAGTGGACTCACCCTTGGCGTCCACGAAGTCCGCGACGCAGCTGCGCCAGCGCGCCCCGCGGCGACTCGCCCGCAAGTAACTGCACTAGAGTCAACGACCAATAATGGGCTCACTCACACAGGCGCACTGTTCGCACACACACACGCACGCGCGCAGACACGCGCACGCTCAAGTGCACCCGACGACGCGTGGCCGGGGCGCTGGGGCGCTGGGGCGCTGGGGCTGCAGGCTGGGCTGGGCGGGGCGCTGGCTCGTCGGCAACAGGTTGCTGGCCGTGCTGGCGGCCGAGCTGGCGGGGCGAGAGCGTCGCGACGCCGTCTGCTTGGACGCCGTGGCTGCCGCGTCGGCTCTGGTGGGGCTCGGTCCGCTCGCGTCCGCGCCTGAGTCGCGACTGGAGTGAGCCCCTGCGGGGGCCCAGCGGGGCGGTGCCGGCGGGGCGGTGGCGGTGCTGGCGGCCCGCTCGGGCGGCACGATCGCGCGCGGCGCAGCGCGGCGCTCTCCTTGAGCTTGGAGCTGCCGGCGCTGCCGCGGGATTACACCCCGAGACAGGCAGCCTGCCCGCGGACAAGCCGACGGCAAGCCGAGCGTGGTGTATGCGAGGAGTGCTTCGGGAGATTTGCCAGATTACGGCCGCTTCCTTCCAGTGGCGCGACGTCTCCGAGACCCCTTCCGGCCTCGACGAATGTGTCGGGCAATCAAGGTGGAGTCACGGCAGTCACTGACAGTCGTTTTCGTCGCTCCGACACTCTTTCGCACTCACGGGCCAGAGAGCGACACAGCGGAATCAGTGTGCTGGGAATCTCTACTCCTGCTGCAGCAATGCGTGGCGACTGGATGAAACTAAAACCCCGCCGCACTTTGCGAACTTTGGCGCGCAGAGCCGCCGCATCCGGGCGGCTGGGGGCAGCAGTGGCGCCACTGACGGCAGCGCGGCAGTGAGGGAGGGTGCCGGGTAAATTAAGCTGTCTCGACAGGGCGAGCCGGCGAGCCAGAGCCGGGCGGGCGCTACACTGGTTGCCACGACACCTGCCCTGCCGTGGCAGTGGCGTGGCAGTGACGCGCCACCCTGGAGCCTCCCCGCCGACGCCCCCCTGTGCTCGCGCTCCTCCGCACCTGTCGGTCGACTGTCGGCACGGGAACGCAATATCGTACGGACGACCAGGCCAGTAGACTGATTCCGAGAGCAGCGCTCTGTCTCTCTCGCATCCATACGGCCCCCAAGAGTGCGAGAGAGAAATGGGGACAGCACGCCGCGGCCCGCTCTGCGGACTCATTCCGAACAGGGCGTCGCTGTCCCTCTCACACCGCCCTACGAGTCACCGCTGGAGTGCGAGAGAGAGGGGGGGGCAGTTCGGCATCAGCCTGCAGCAGCACTGCTGTATTCGAGCCGCTGATGGTTGGGGTTGGAGGCTGGTGGCGCTGCGCCTGACTTGCATGGAGTATAACGAAACAAGGTCCACTGGCACAAAGCAATAAACATTTAGCCATGCGCCGCACCGCGCCGCTGGCCTTGGTCATGCCCTTCTCCAACGCCACCAGCATTACCACCGCCGCTGCCGCCACCACCACCACCAGCTACACACAATGACAGCCTCCTCAATGCGCGGCGCGCCCCTCTCCGCTCCGAAGAGGGAGAAGAAGAGAGTGCTCTGAAAGTTAGCCGCCGCGTCGGTCGGCGCGTACAGAAATACAGGTTTACTTGCGGTGAACTTTCCCCCGCCGGTTCGTTTAGCTTCGCCACTCCAGCGCCGGGACGGCCGGGGCGGCCGGGGCGTTGCCTCCAAGCGGGGTCACGGCGCGGCTCGAGTCTATCACGCGGTCATCCACGTATTACGTAAACGTAGAATTTGGTTAAAGCGGTAACAAAAGACTGAGATCTGTGATTTTTGGCAGCTTTTGTGCGACCACTGCAGCCCCGCCAGCCCATAGCCAGTCCCGCCACTGTGATAAAGCACGATCGCGGGGGTGGCGTGCAATGGCTCGGAAAGCGAGGATGACTTTGAAAATTGCGTGCCAATTTGATTCGTATGTGAGCCCCCTCCGCCCGCTCCGAGGCCGCTCCCCGAGAGTCCCGGGCCGCGTTCCCGAAGGCTGACTGTGCACCCGCGCGCGGCATGCCGGGGCGTTCGGACGACGGACCGCCTCCCGATCGGATTCGGACGGTTCGGACTCCGACCGGAATGGCACACCCAAGTGATTCCGAGTGGGGTACGGCGGCTGGCAGTACCGATCGAATGCCTGTGCGGCAGCGCCAACGCAAACCATTCAGGCAATTCGCAGCCAGATTCAAGGAAGGGGCGTGCCAGCCAAGGAGGCACGCCGAGGTCACCAACGCGTCCTCGTCGTCGGCGTCCTCGACGTCACTTCCTCCTCCACTGCGAGGACGCCGAGCTTGAGCGGAGTTGAAACGACGGCGGCTCTTGCCCCGAGCACCACCTACTCTCCGAGCGCCCCCTGGCACGCGCGGCTGTTTGTCGGCTGGGCTGTTTATAGACGCGGTTACAGTGGTGCTGCGCCCCGCCCCGCCCCGCCCCGCCGGCAATACATCGGTACAGCGCTGCGGTGGCCTGCAGGTGGCGGAGACACTGGCCGCCGTGTTTATCAGTCATCACACCAACGTAAACACACACACACACACACACACACGCGCGCGCGCGCGCGCAACCCTCCGGGCAATAAGGCTCGGCGGGTCATTAACAGCCCGTTAACTTTATGTCAGAAGCACCATAACGAGTTCGTTGCCGCTGCCGATTTTCCCGTTTTCAAACAAACTTTTTCGGCCTTCCCTGCGTATGCCGCGGACGCGGGAGGCCGGTAGTATTCGTAATAGAGATGCAGGCCCGCGTCTTGCGCCACACCCGTGTCGCACAGGGGGCCAGAAGCGCGGCAAAAATTCTAGACGCGTTTTGAGCTTCAGAGTCGCTAAACAGGACTCGTGTGACCCCACCAATGGATTGCTCTTCGAAAGAGGAATTTATTGGTGGGTCCACACGTTCGATTCGAATCTTGTTTAGCGGCTCTGGATCTGAAAACGCGTCCAGACTTTTGGTTGCCCCCACCAGTCTTCTGGCCCACTGTGCGTCGTTGTCGTCGGCGTCTTCTGGCCGGGGCAGGGCGGAAAGGGCGCGGTACGTCGTTAGTGCTCATCAAGGCCCGCCGGAATCGACCGCTGTTCTGCGCGACCCTCCCTGCCGCGACCTGCCGCGCCTAACAGTACGTACATTACGAGATTGCTTGCCGCACCGACTTCCTTCGGCGGGGGCGCGCAGTATGCATCAGGCAGAGAAGTCTCCCGCTACTTTTTTCCTCGCGCTGTGCTAGGCCTACTTGGCGTCAACGAAAAGTTCGCCTACAGCACGACGACGCCCACACGCGCACACACGGTAAAAAAACGTTCCTACTTTTCCCTGGAAATTGCCCGTGTCTTTACCTTAGGCTTCCGCGGAAAAGCAGGAACCGTTTTTACCGCGCACGCTGACGCACGCGTAGCGCGTCGCATCCTCTGGCCGAAACGGTGCTCAATAGTGCATCCCCGTTCCACACAGATGCACGTTGGAGAGCCACGCGCCGCGCTCTCTTTCACGCACACGCGCGCCGCGCTACTTTTCCGCCAGCGAGGCCTCGCCGTTCCCGCGCGGGGTACGTCCCTTGGAAGTCCCCCTCCAGTCCCCATACATCACCTGATCTCCCCGTGCGCCATACTCTTTTTGCTCGTTTTTTTCATTTCCTGTTTCTTTTTTGGGGATTTAGGCGCGTCATCTCCGCCGCGCGCGGCAAGAGGGAGAGAGACAGTGTGTGTTCATGTGCGAGTGAGACAGAGAGAGAGAGCGGGGGAGAGGGAGGGGGGGGGGCTTGGCTGTAGAAAGTGACAGGGAGAAGGGAGGGGGCCGGAGGGGGCAGTGTGTGCGCCGACTCAGCAAGCAGCGGGGAGGGCAGGCGGCAGCGGGCGGCAGGGAACAGGGTGACACTTCCGCAAATTAAATTGCAATCTCTTCCCGCACTACTCGGCCGCATCTCTCATCCTTCTGCTACTTCCCGTCACGGCAGCGGCACAAAAAGGCAGGGGATTTCTCTGCGAAAGAGGAATCCATTGGTGGGGTCACTACGCGTGCCCGGCCTAGCGCAGCAGCAGCCTAATGTTTGCCGGCACTTTAACCAGGCTAATTTATTGGCTTGGACATTGTGCTCGCAGTGGCGCAGCGTTCGACGAGTGCACAATGGAACAGAAGCGATGGACTGGTGGCACCACACTACACTGACAAGGCCAGCGGGTAATGTGGGCAGTGCTTTGGCCACCCCAACATCGACGATAACATGACTGCCTTCCAAGCGCAACCACAACAAACCGTCCCCCTCTCCGCCACTGTCAACAAGAGCAAGACGGAAGCACTGTCTCGTCATCCCCCTTCATTATGCCGGGGCACTTTTCGGCATTGAGAGGGCGTCGCCAGGCGTCGCCGCAGTGCAGCCAACCCTTGCCATCTTTCGGCTCTCGCTGTGTTTTTCCCCGTTTTTGTCTTTTGGGTTGCGCGGCATTTGTGTTGGTTTGCAGTCGCTGCATTTTAATATCCCCGCCGCTGGTGACACTGGTCTCCCAATCAGAGCGTTTGCGAGGTGGAGGGGGGAGCACACCACCGTGGCATAGCAGTCCCATCTCCAAAAATGCCCTCGCTTTCCAGATCGCCCCGGATTGGGTCCAGCACACTGATGCCCAGAGCCGCTCCCGTCGCTCTCGCGCTCACGGGGCGTCCCGTACAGGTGCGAGAGAAACAGAGCGACGAAAACGATTCTCGGAATGAGTCTGCAGAGTGCGCGTGGCGGTATGCGCCGGCCATCACAAACGAACCAACAGTTTGGGAAAGCATTGGCGGGCCTCACCGCGACGCAACGCGACGCGACGGCAGGTAATGGGACTAATTACGAGACTGGAGGAATGAATAGACGACTGCTTCCCCGCCTTTGTCTTCGCCCGCCCGCCGTTCGAAAGTACGAGACAAAGGACACGCTGGTGTCGTCGCTCCAGACTTGATTCCACCTATTTTGTTTTTCTCGCTCTTTCTCTCTCTCTCTCTCCCTCTCTCTCTTAAAGTTACGTTGCAGCTGCACGGACGCACAAACAGCGCAGCGGCCGCCGGATTAACTACTCGCGTCGTTGTTGCACATTCTGGATTGGAGTCGAACAAGTTAGTGCCCTGCAGATTCACGTGTGTGG